CGGTCCTTTTTACTCCGTCGTTTTTTTTTCTTACGTGTCTTCTCTTTTGATGTTGCCTGGATGTAGGCGGCTTGATGCATGGGTAACCTATCGTCGTCGGTCTCGGGGTTCAAGGAAAGTGGGCGGGCTCGTCGTTTCCGTCACCACGACTGATTCATTGTCGAGAGTTTTCTATTCGTTTTGGCGAAGTACCACTGTCTTCGTTGTCGTCGCCCCGGATATTAGCTTGTTGGTGCATGTGCTTTGCGCGTTTACCTTGCGCTATTGATGATTGCTTTCAGGATACTCAAAGTGCGTCGTCCGTCGCGGAGGTTTTTCCCGGCGCCTGCATACAAGAGGTGTCGGTCCTTTTTACTCCGTCGTTTTGTTTTCTTACGTGTCTTCTCTTTTGATGTTGCCTGGATGAAGGCGGTTTGATGTAACCTATCGTCGTTGTCTCGGGGTCAACACCATGTAGTGGAGTCGTTGTTTCGGACACCATGACTGATTCGGACATTTCAAACAAACGAAAATATAAAGTTCACATAGTACATGCACTGAAGTCGTGCCGACCATTGTTGCTCCCTGCGGTCCCAGCGCTACGTGCTTCGGTAAGGTTTTCTGCCCCTCGCCAATTCGAGAACGGAAGACCGCACTTGTCAAATACACAAGTCAGGATGAGCCCAGCGACTCTTCGCGGTAATCTATTGCGTTTGTTTTGGACGGGGGCGATCCTTCATCAGGGTGCGTCTGTTTGGGATACCTTCCCGGGTTTATGTCGAACGTGTCTTGCTATCGTGGCGAGTTTCGTGCAACTCGTTCCTCACTTCCCTAGCCCACGTCTCATCACATGTCCTGTGGAAAACACCCATCGTTCGATGGTGGGGAGTTGGATCTTCAGTACTCTGTTGTACTTTTGAGGTCGCTCTGTGTGCGCTTCCTGCTAATGCAATTGGATTTCATGTGGTGAGAATGAAAGTTCGCCTCGTGCCAATGGGTAGCCATTCACACGAAAACATATGGTCCGTTCGGGCAGACATTCACAATCTTGTTTTCCGCGATTTCGAAAAAAAACGATTCGGAAAGTGAAACAACTTTGGGCGTGACCGCGGCGTCGAGCTTCGTCGATATCCGATGAGTTTTTGGTGATTGGGTGAAATGAGACATTTTTGACCAAAATGACCCACGGAGCCCCCCCCACGAGGTTAAACCATAATCCAACTGTGGCGCCCGATGCTGCGCCCGATGCTGCGCCCGTTGCCACCGCGACAATCCGCCTGGCGGGGTCGAGGACCTTGTACGCCACCCGCTCGTATGTCACCCGCTCGTGGAACTCCACGAAGCTCCCGCGGAATAAGTATTTTCCGTTGCGGTGGTGGCTCATGATGAGGTAGCCCGTAAGGTGGATGCTAGCCGTGCCCTGCTCGTCACTGCAGAANCCCACGAGGTTAAACCATAATCCAACTGTGGCGCCCGATGCTGCGCCCGATGCTGCGCCCGTTGCCACCGCGACAATCCGCCTGGCGGGGTCGAGGACCTTGTACGCCACCCGCTCGTATGTCACCCGCTCGTGGAACTCCACGAAGCTCCCGCGGAATAAGTATTTTCCGTTGCGGTGGTGGCTCATGATGAGGTAGCCCGTAAGGTGGATGCTAGCCGTGCCCTGCTCGTCACTGCAGAAGAAGGTCGTCTTGCCGTCCAAGCTGGACTGGTCGTAGTGGAACCATTTGAATTTTCCCTCGACGTACTCCAGGTAGTCCTTGACTTCCGCAGCGCTGTCGAAGATCGCCGTTTTGCTGAGGACGGTCGACTTCAAGGAAGTCAGGCTCGAGATGTTTTCAATGGCTTTGTTCGAATCCTCACGCAGCTCTTTCGTGCTGTACACAAACTCGTCCAACTCGAGCTCGCTGTCAGACCGGTTCCCTGGAAACGATTTCCACATCGTTTTCCTTTCTCATCGATGTCGCATTCGTGGGGCCGGGAGGGGGGAGGGATTCGAGGTGTCAGAACAGGCGGCTTCACGAACTAGGCAGCGCGCTCAAAAGCAATCGTGTGTGTAACTCTCGGACGCAAAACGAAATCAAAGGTGCAAGGGTGGGCTGTACATCCCATGTGTCATCGCTCGCCAGATTTCTGGCCACACGAGCGGAGAAATAGTGTAGTGCGAAGATCGCCGGGACGAGCAACCGTATCTACACGATGTAAACGACTACGTGAGCAACGAGCAAGTGACAAAGAAGTACAGGAAGCGCATCGATATGGAAGTGGTTCATCGGACTAGTGGTGTGAGAGAAACTTGTGGAAATATGACAAACTCTGAATGAACGGCGAGTTTCGGCAACTCTCCTTTAACAATTTAAGAGTGAGAGTCCTTCGCCCGGATCCGCGGCCGGTAAACGACAGCCAAATACCGGCAAATAAATCACCTCAAAATCTCAGGGTTCAATCGCTGGCTCTATCGATTCTGTCTTATGCTCTATTTCTGCGGCAACTTTCTGCTAAGGCGTACAGAAGGACTTCTGTGAATGGAAAAATTGTAGTTTGTGGTCGTGGGTGTGTCTTTTCATTCATATGTTGCACACAAGTGAACGCATCTTCAGGAGTGCGGCCAAAATGGCTTATACAGACGGAACTGTATGCTGGTCCTGCGAGGAACCGCACACCGAGCCGTTACACAGGACACAGCACACGCAGCATACACAATGCAGCTGCACAGTAGTTAAGAGGCAGTTAGCCGTCGTGCAGTATTGTAGCCAGCAGCAAGGCGTCTCGGGTAGCCGCTAGCAAAGCGGTAAGTAGCAGGCACCACCAGAGGCTGCCACAAGAGGAAGCGTCAGTTCGACACACACACCGTACCTTGCGAGGCATACTACTGCTGCTTTTGTATGCATACAGCAACCACCTCTCTCAGCATCTCATCATGTATGTCTGAACGTTGCTGGTAACCAAAATTTACAGAGAGAAAAAATTGGGGCCAGGAGTCGATGCGCTGTTGATGTGGGTGGTCCTCTATTTGCCTGCATATCCATTGCAAAAAACCGGACGTAAAGCCCCGTCGAGATTGTGGAGTTATATCGAATCAAATGCGGACAACAGGTGACCAACGTACGCAGAAGAACTCTTCGTCCTTTTATATTTTTTACGTGCACCACCAGCAAATCGCCCATTTCGTCACATTCGAATTTCTTTCGTCGGCCCGGTGGTCTAGTTTAACCTCGTAAATCTACTAGCAGCAAGGATGGGAGTTCAAATCCCAGTGGGAGTGATATTTTCTCAACTTTGCAGTGGAACGCGATTTGTTCATGAATACCGTAAAAAAGGGAGGGGATTGCTGAACCATTCTCGCGTTAAAAATCAGGAGGTGGGGCAATAAAACAAACGGAAAATAAAAAGCTCCTGTGTGACCTTCCTGTGTGACCCCGGCTGATACGCCCAACATATACCGAAAGGTGTAGACTGGCGCGAGAATAGATGGAAGCACACACACATCTTCCACAAATACACTTGCCCGATCACTTGTAGCTTAAGGGTGTGCAGAAAAACCGATTTTGACGTTGACTGACATTGACAAAGATCGAAAGAGCGAACAACAAGCACACACGAGATACACAAGACCAGTTGGAAAGCATTGGGGCACGAAAAAATATATTGGTTCTCGCACAGGGCGGCAGTGGAGGGCTCTCTCTAAATATATGTTTTACAGGCTACCTCCACACGCCCTCTTTGAAAACAACAGAAAATTTTCCGACACTCGAAATTCAAGTCAAGTCGGGCTCTCAAAAAGGGTCTTCCACTTTGCGGAGTGCCAACCTTAAGCATGATATCAGTAGAGGACACTCTGTAGCAGCGACGTGTTTGTGTGTGTGTTGGTGCGCTCAAACCTGCTCCTGGAGCTGAGATATCGAAGGTCGCACTAGTCGATCAAACAGTCCGCAATCTGGGCCGGAACCAAACGTTTGTAGCGGCTGTGCTCGCCGCCACGAACTCCAATCTCCTGTAGACCCGCAGTTCAGGAGATGGGGTTCCGTGGCAACGAGCACAGCAGTGGAAGACACTGGATAGGGGTCAAGTTTGCGGAGATTTTAGGCCGCTGCTTCGACCGACCCTGGATATCACCACTTGGAATGGTCGTGTCACACTGGCAAGTTATGACTTTCGGGATACATTGCTTTGGACGGGAAGACCCCCATGGTTTGTTTTTCATGAGCAGCCGTGCCCAAAGTAGGCCGCAGTCATGTATGCGTTGGACGGTGAGACCTCCACATTCTTGGTTTCAAGAGTTCGCCGAGAAAAACATTGCAAAACAACACGAATGTTTGAACGATGAGTCCAACATTCACATTTGAAAACTTACAAAAGCCGTGCGAATCTCAAGCTGATTTAGAACAACCCACAGCGCATTTAGGACGCTCGCAGGTGTATTCTTTCAGAGTCTACTGCTGGGTCTTGCGAGAACGCGCGTAGAGATATAAAGCTCCTGGGCAATTTAGGTAAGCACAACACGGCAAAGGTGTTGAGCACTAATCGGACAACAGTGGGAGCGGAAGCACCCATTTTTCAAGCTCGCGTGCCGAAAGTGATGACAGTATGAGACCACGCCATACAACAACGGAGCCTCACCTACTCTGCTCGCGCCACCAAGGTATGTTTGTTTCCTCGGCCAACAAAACACAAGGGACCACCGCCGAGTATCAGCTGATGGGTCTTGGGAGCAAAATAAAGGCTACGGGTGAACAGCAAGGGACGCGCGGTGGTGCTTCTGGATCTTGAGAGATGACAGAGGGGAAGATAAAACGAAGTGAGAGAATCGGACCAAAACTGTGCATACATCCTTCAGAGGTGCTTTGTAATAGAATCGGGTCTGCTCTTCAACTCTACTCCGCGAACACGTGCGTACACGCTGTGCTTAACTTACACACATCAAATGGCGCGCGCCCCCCGCAGAAAAAGAACCCCAAGCATATCTGCTCACTTTTCGCGAAAAGTGGAAAAACTGACGTCAACTTTCGCGGACGAACCCAGAGACCAGAGAGTTCTCGGCGCTCTCGCGCTCACACCTGTGCGACCTCTCGGCATAGAACGGACCGGTGCGGTGAAGAATGAAAACTGGTTTCAGTTTCGTTAAGGGTGCCGGTGGTGGTTTCGGTAATCGCGGTGGTGGTGCCGGCGGATTCGCTGCTGGCAGGAACGTCAGCAAGCACAGCTACAGCCAGCTCAACTACATCCGATCCGTACGAGTGGGATTGAACCTAGACTACTGTATCAAAAGCAAAGCTTCTTTTATTATTTCTGCTTTGCGCCCGCGACAAAGATACCACGTCATATTTCTGTGCTCTTGGGTCACCCCACTCATATAATTTGGTGTCTGGTTATTTCACCACAACTCTCAAGGGAAATCTTGCGGATTATAGTATCTCCTTTGACGTAGTCTGTACCTTTTTCGGGGGTACAGTTAGCCCTTTGACCACGGAAGGCGTGCGCGTCAGTTGTCAGTACGGAGAAGAGGCGTGATTTCTATTTAACAAGTAGGCTAAGGTTTACTACCACGTATGATGCAATTCAAAAAACTCCCCCCTTCCCCACAGATTGTACGCGGTGTGTCGGTAGTATGGTTGGGGTTCTCGAACGACCAAGCATTGAAACCCTTCGTTTGACTCTGCGTTGGGCATGAAAGGTGGACATGTGATGAGGTCGAGGTTCACTTTCGGCTTTCGGCACAGAGAAGGTTGACAAGCAATGCGGCCGGGAGTGAACTCTGCTGTTTCTGATGTCCAGGCTAGTCCCTCCCTGTTTCCCCTGTCCTCGGCAATCTTGTCAACAGTACGTCTTGAGCCTGTGTTTGTATGTGCGTTCGCGACATCTGCTCGTGAAGTTGAAGGGGTGTACAAGAAACTTCCTTATTACCCGCGGAGAAGTTTCCCTGGGCGCGGCGGGTGTGAACAGTCTTTTCCATCAACTTGTTTTTTACGAGAGCAGATGTCGGAACGCACACAGTCGGTGTGAGTGTGACATGCATTTCGAAAGCACTTTTTTTTTGTTTTTCACTTTAAAACAGAGAGGGTTGGTTGTGGCACAGACTCTTGGACGCTGCTGGACACTAAGGTACGACAGGATCGAGGTGGGGTGGAATGGTTCATGGACGAGTGGCACAAAGGACATGGAGACAAACAAAGAGACCCGTCGATTGAAGCGGGAGAGGGACGCAATCGAATGACAGACCACACCCGCCCAAGAGAGGGAGAACGGACGGCGAGGAGAAACGAGATGAGAAACACGGGGACTCAAGGGGAGGGTAAGCCCCCCACGCAGCGGGGTGGTGGCGTTAAACTAGCGGTGAGGCAGAAGTTCGTCGTGTTGCTGCTAATGAAGCTAAAAGGCAGAAAACACAACCCAAGCTGAGGGGTGGTGGGGTTAAAAAAGTTTTTAAAAAAAGCTGTAGGGCAGAAGTCGCGGAGTGTTGTTGCCGCCAAAGATGTAGGGCAGAAGCAACCGTGTGTAGTCCCCTCTTCTCTTTTTTTAGTCTGTGTTTCTTTTCCTTTTCATTTGTCTCTTTGCTCTTCGTCTTCTCTTCCTTCATCTCGGACTACTATATCCCTTTCGAGCTATTTGGGCTTTTTGATTTATTTTGTTCTTCAATATTCGAGTCTGTAGTGCTGTATGTTTGTATTTTGGCCACCACAGCAGATACCTGGGGGTATCCCTGTCTTTTTATTCTCTGTTTTAATTTATTTTTATTGTTATGTAGGGCCATTTCACTTCATTTTTTTTTTCTCCTAGCACGATATGTGCCTGGTTTGTGACCACGGACTAGACTTTCAGTGAACTACTGTGAGAATCAACACGCCACGAGTCCCATGCTGCTGTACCGATGTTCGCGACAACCACAGCTCTTGAACAATCACTGACATTCCATGGTGACTTGTTGCCTCAACCCCGTGCAATATTCTCCCATGTTGAAGGGTATCAAAAGCCAAAATGCGGATGTCTCAGATCATTTACCCTAAGAGTGCTGCCACGCGACGTCGCGCCTTTGTCGCTTCCAAAGTACACGAGCAGAGGGCATGCTACATACGGCAACGCTGCTGTAAGATTGCACGACCCACCTGAGCCGCAAAATACAAAACGACTCCCGCGGAAAATAACAAAAAAGAGTGACAGCAAACAAAACAGCTTGTCAGGCCACGCGCGGAACTTGACAAAGGTTGGCACATAACTTCCTGTCTCGCAATTCGTTGGATGCGCGCTACGTACGTGCAAAGCGACAGCTGTACACTCCAAATCAAGGATTCTGGAATGACCGCAAAACCAGCTCGCAGAATTACGGTCGTAGGGTCTCCCCGTGTCTCACCTGGTGGCACTCTCGATTTACAGTCACGGTGCACACGGTGGAGATGGACCTCGTCTTTCTTGAGCAATGCTCCCGCTAGCTACTGCTGTTCACGGCCTCTGTGTGTCATGTAAGGGGGATGGAACAGAAGGGTATCACACGAAGATGAATATTGGGCGATGAAAGCACCACGTGGGAAGCATAGAAAATAGGGAACACCGTCACGCTATATCTGCCCGCGCAAACGTTCGGCTACAGAACTGAATCATATAGAGAAACAATTGATTGGTCGCGAAGACTTCATGGACCCTGCTGAGCACTGCATACCACGTTTGTCTTGCTGATGTACCAGTGTTTGAAACAACCGAAGTTCTGGAAAGATCGCTGACGTGCAGACTGACTTATTGCTTTACCCAGTGCCGATCCTCCCATGTTGAACAATATCAAAAGTCAGATAACGGGCCTGATGCCCAGATCATCACGCTTGAACTATGCCACGCAGCGCCAACACAAGGCGCTAAAACGAGGCGCTGCGGCTTTGACAATAATTCCACACAGGCACAGAAGGCATACCAAATACCACCGCTGAGTTGCACAAGATCGCACTGCCAAAATAAAATGGGCGGCAAACTGCAAAACAACTTCGGTGGACAGGAAAAGAGAAAAAAGGGTTGGAAGGCACACTTGAAAACGACTTCGGCGTAAAAGAACAAAAAGTGGGACGCCAATACACCAGCTTGTCAGGTCACGCGCTGAACTTCACAGGGGTTGCACATAAGTTCCTGTGGCGCGAATTCGTCGGCTGCGTGCTACATGCTTCACCACAGCTTCGCCACCACAAGGCTAATGTTCGGGAAGCTCACCAAAAGTTTTGAAATACGATTGGACGGTCTCACCGATTCTCACCTGGTAGCACGCTTGATTTTCAGGCACGGTTGACGCTCGGTGGAGCTGGACCCTTTCGTTCTTGAGTAAAATGGGTACACTGGCTGCTGCTGTTGGCTGCCTGTGTGTGTCGTGTACGGATCATCGAACAGAGGCGTATCACACACGCGGACATTGTAACAGGGACAGCAGTAGTCATGGTATATCTGCCCGCGCAAATGTTTGGCTACATGTGCACTGAATCATGGGAAAAATATAACGTCGTTCGGGAAGACTCCTTGGACGCTGCTGGAAACTACGCCACGAAAGTCCCATGCTGCTGCACCAATGTTCGTGCCAAACAAAATTCTGGAACGACCACTGACATGCCATGGTGACTTGTTGCCTCAACCCAGCTCAATTTTCTCCCATATTGAAGGGTAATAAAAGCCAAAATGAGGCTTGCCCCAGATCATCCACCTTGAACTAGCTGGGAAGCGCTGCCACGAGACGCTGCGGCTTTGTCACTAACTCAGTACACGAGCAGAGGACGTGCTACAAACAGCAACGCTGCTAACACAAGGTAGCATGGCCAAGTGAGTGCCAAAACCCACGACTCCGGCAAACAACCAGCTTGTCAGCCCAAGCGCGGAACTTTACGACGGTTGAACATTACTTCCTTTCTCGCGAAGCCACGTGCGAAATAAACGACAGCTGCGCGAATACCAGGCCGTAGTTCTCGAAGACTCAACAAGGTTTGGAGCGGTCCGACAATCTGCCCGACTCTGACCTGAGAGCACGCTCGATTCGAAGGCACGGTTGACGCGGGGGTGGAGCTGATCCCTGTCGTTCTTGAGTACAATGCACACACTGCCTACTGCTGTTGGGTGTCGCGTTCAGGACATCGAACAGGGAGTGCACCACACGCGGACGAATATGCAAAGGTCACGATATTTTTGCATTTTTGCCGCAAACGTTTGGCTTCATCGTTCACAGAAGCATGGAGAGAAAAATACTTCATGTCGCAAAGACTCCTGGGGCGTTGCTGGACACTACGCCACGAAAGTCCGATGCTGCTGTACCAGTGTTCGTGCCAACCAAACTTTCGGTGTCATGGGTGACGTGTTGCCTCAACCCAGCCCAATTTTCTCCCGTGTTGAAGGGTATCGAGAGCCAAAATAGGGCTTGCCCCAGATCATTCACCTTGATCTAGCTTCCCACGAGGCGCTACTGCTTTGTAAGTAACTCAGTACACGAGCAGGGGGCATGCTACAGCAACGCTGCTTTACACAAGAGTGCCAAACAAGATGACTTCGGCGATAGATAAAGAGGGTTGGGCGCCAAAATTCTGAACGACTCCGGCGGAAAATAAAAAAAAGAGTGACAGCAACCAAACCCGCTTGTCAGGCTCAAAGTATGGCCGTCTTGCGCGATTGAATTTCACACGACCTGTACGTAGACGACATCTGCGCGACCACAAGGCCATCGTTCTGGAAGGCTGAACAAAGTTTCAAAGTATGGCAGTCTTGCGCGTTTGTATACCCTAGCGGTGTGAGACACCGATAATACACGAACTAAAAGAAGACATTCGACAGCCTGGAGGCAAGTCGACGTTAACCGACGGTGGTTACACGAACATGCCGCGTGTGTCCAATCTCGCAAACTCGTAATTTCTCCACCTGTCTACCGCGCGCACCTTGTGCGAGGGTCTCCCCCACATGCTCTCACCTTTGCAGTTTGCTGAAGCGCGGTCGAAGGTGGATCCTGTTGTCTTTTTCGTTTGGCACCGCTTCTCTCTTTGTGTAGCTCCGCTCTCTATTGGGGGGTACACCGCGGAGTATTCGCTGTATCCTTGGGTGTTGCAAACCTCAAGGGGCCCCGTGCATTGTTGAGAAGGGATGGATTGCTACCCCGCTCTTTTTGTCCAGGGTTGCAAGCCCTCTGTCTCCAGGGGGCACAAATCTGCCGATTGAGTGAACCAACTGCTCGGCCAAGCTCCTCCGAGAAAGGATAGGGGACAGAGGTGACATCCTGCTGGGTTTTACGTCGATCCGTGTTGTAGCGAGCGAGAAATCGAATGCGGTGTCCTCCTGTCTCTGTCAAAATGTTGCCCTTCTCGCTTCCGAGAGGCGATTTGACCTATTCGTGTCGTGTGCGGTTCGAAATGTTTTTTTCACGCCCGCCTCGCGAGCGATCATCACCAACCAGCGGGCTTACCAGTAACACCGTCAGCCAAGGGTTGCTCGGAGCCCTTGATGGGAGCGATACGTTTAGAACTCGCGACCCAAATCTTGGCAAGATTTGAAGGCAAGATTTTGCTCCATAAAATGTGTACATCGTGATATTTTTCTTGATCTTACCTCCCCGCCCCCCACCAAAAATTAAGATTAAGGCTGTTTCTTATAGAGCCGGATTCTTGACCTGAAAAACCTCAAAATCCCGATATGGCCAAAATCGGGATTCTTA